AAGGTTTTAATAGATTTTCAGACCATTTATTTATTATGTGACAAATGTAATAAAAAACACTGCATATACTATTATTGATTAAATTAATGAGATCTCTTGATCTTGGCCCATAATGTTTATATGCCATACCCTTCAGTGCATTGATCCTTTTCAAGGATTTACTGCTTAGTTGATTTTTAATATAAAAATTTTGACAAAGTTTAGAAAAAAATACTCTCCTAATTATTTAATAGAAGTTTGTCATTGTAGGGGAAATCCAGCCAACAAAATATTAGGAAGAGTATAATTTCTTTTATTTGATAATTCAGCTATTGTACATTTCTCTGGGCTTAAATTCAGTTTCCAATATTTACACCACTGGAAAATTCTTTCCAGAGTATTTTGTATTTTTTTGCAAATAACATCAAGGGATTTATGAAAGCAAAATATAAAAATGTCGTCGGCATAAACCAAGCATTCAATTTCCGACTCTAAGGTATCAAAAATATCATGCATGTAAATAGTATACAAAATAGGAGATATGACACTGCCTTGGGCTAGGCCCTGCGGAACAAGCTTTTTGCGAGAAAAATAACCCCTCCATTTTATTTGGAATGATTGAGATGCGAGAAATTTATGTATCCAATTTGTTATGTTTCCTGCTATACCAATTTGTAAACATTTATAAATAAGACCATCCACGTAAACAGAGTCGTATGCACTTTTAATGTCTAAACTTATTCCTACAAAAAAAAAATTTCTGTAATTTTGCATTCATTATTGCCTTATGTACAAGATAAGTAGCACTTCTGCTATCTTTCAAAGGAACGAAACCATAATGTTGGGGATGAAGTTTTCTTCCTTTAGTTAAATAGTAAGAAATCCGATTAGCCAAAATTCTTTTAAAAGTTTTTGAAAATACAGAAGTCAGAGCTATTGGTCTGTAGGAAGACATCTTAGTTTTATCTTTACACGGTTTAGGAATCGGGAAAATGATTGCATGCTTCCAAGAATCTGGAACGATTGCATTATCAAATAATTTATGAAAATATCTTAAAATTACATCACGTTGACCCTGATCAAGATTTTTAAAGAAAATTGCCGTAACAGGATCAGTTCCAGGAGTTGTATTTTTTGAATTTTTTATTGCACTATGCAATTCAAAAATATGGAATGGTTTATTAAGGTTATTTTTGTCGTAGAGAAAATCCAAAGGAAGCGGTTCATGATAGGCAATCTCAGATGCAAAATAATCTGCAAATATATCTGCTTGCAATTGAGGATGAGTGATAAACCTATTATTAAGCTGAAGAATATTAAGTTTTTGATCGGTGTCAGTAATTGTGGAAAATGTTTTCAGAATATTAAAAAACATCTTGTCCCAGTACATTCTTTTGGCATTTTTTATGTAGAATCTAAG